CGAGAGCATTCCAGATGACACTGGAAGCTGCTAAAGATGAAGCTGATGTCGCTTCAGGTACCTTTCTCGTTAACAAATTGCCTGCCCAAATTTTATTTGATTCTGGAGCCAACTACTCCTTTATATCGCATGAATTTGGTAGAAAACTAGCTTTGCCTATTGTGAGACTAGATAATGCTTTATTAGTCGAAGTTGCTAGTGGCAAGATTGTACCTGTTAGCCATCGTATGAAAAACATTTTAATTGATTTGAATGGGAATAAGTTCCACGAGGAATTATTACCTATAGAACTTAATGGTTTCGACATCGTTTTGGGAATGGATTGGCTTAGTGCCAATGATGCCGAAATTTTATGCAAGAAGAAAATAGTGAAAGTGAATCCGCCTGGAAAGGAATCGTTTATGGTGTATGGAGATAAACGCAGAGTAAATTCTGGAATCATTTCCTAATGAAAGCCAGAAAGTGTTTGACCAAGGGATGTACATCATATTTAGCATTCGTGATCGATGCTAAGAAGGAAAAGAAGGTGATGCAAAATATTCCTGTTGTGTGTGATTATCCGGAAGTATTTCCCGAAGATCTTCCTGGATTACCGCCCGATCGACAAGTAGAATTTCGTATTGACTTGTTGCCCGGAACAACGCCAATTGCAAAAGCACCTTATCGATTAGCACCGACGGAGATGAAGGAGCTAATGATGCAACTTCAGGAGTTATTGGACAAAGGTTTCATTAGACCTAGTTCATCACCCTGGGGAGCTCCGGTGTTATTCGTAAAGAAGAAAGATGGAAGCATGAGGATGTGCATTGATTACCGAGAGCTGAATAAGGCAACAATAAAGAATAGATATCCGTTGCCGAGGATTGATGACCTATTCGATCAGCTACAAGGTTCAAGTTATTTCTCAAAGATCGACTTGAGGTCAGGATATCATCAGCTAAAAGTAAGAGAGCAGGATATAGAGAAGACTGCATTCAGAACCCGATATGGACACTATGAGTTTTTGGTTATGTCGTTTGGACTAACCAATGCTCCAGCAGCATTCATGGATTTAATGAACAGGGTTTGTAATCCGTTCCTTGATAAATCTGTGATAGTGTTCATAGATGACATTCTGATTTATTCAAAAAGCCAAGAGGAGCATGGCAGACACTTGCGAGAAGTTTTGGAAGTCTTGAAGAAGGAGAAGCTGTATGCGAAGTTCTCCAAATGTGATTTTTGGATTCGAGAAGTCCAATTCTTGGGTCACGTGGTCAACCAAGAAGGTATAATGGTTGATCCAGCAAAGATTGAAGCTGTAATGAAGTGGGAACAACCAAAAAGTCCCACGGAGATTCGAAGCTTTTTAGGATTAGCCGGATATTACCGAAGGTTTATCCAAGGCTTTTCTTCGATTGCTAGTCCATTAACAGCTTTGACCCACAAAGGAGCTACTTATGCTTGGAGTGATAAGCATAAAGAAGCATTCGAGAAGCTAAAGAAGAAAAAACATGCGAGGCACCGATACTTTCTCTACCCGATGGAGTTGAAGACTTCGCTGTTTATAGCGATGCGTCTGGTGTTGGATTGGGTTGTGTTTTGACCCAAAGAGATAAGGTGATCGCGTATGCATCTCGACAGCTGAAAGAGCATGAAAAGAACTACCCGACTCATGATTTGGAGTTGGCAGCGGTAGTTTTCGCTCTGAAAATATGGAGGCATTACCTCTATGGCACGAAGTGCAAACTTTTCACTGATCATAAGAGTCTCCAATATCTCTTTAGTCAGAAAGAATTGAATATGAGGCAACGACGCTGGCTGGAACTACTTAAAGACTACGACTGTGAGATACTTTACCACCCCGGTAAAGCCAATGTTGTTTGCTGATGCTCTCAGTCGGAAAGTCAATCTTGAAAAGAGAAGGCCAAGAGCGTTGAGAATTGAAGTTGTCTCAACCATTTTGGAAAGTATAAAGAAAGCTCAAGAGGAAGCTTCGGAGAAGAATGACCGAAAGGAGGAACGTTTGGGCAAAACGTTGGTGTTCGGTGTAAACAGTCACGGACTGAAGGTGTTCCAAGATCGGATTTGGATACCTAAGACAGGAGGAGTCAGAGATCTTCTGATGGAAGAAGCTCACAAGACCATGTACTCAATTCATCCCGGTAGCACTAAAATGTATAGGGACCTGAAACCCTATTATTGGTGGCCGACGATGAAGCTCGACATTGCGAAGTATGTGGCCGAGTGTGTGACTTGTGCAAGAGTCAAGGCACAACATCAGAAACCGTACGGGAGTTTAGAACCATTGCCTGTGCCTATGGGTAAGTGGGAAGACATTACTATGGATTTTGTCACTAAACTGCCCAGAACAAAGAATGGTCACGACATGATTTGGGTGGTCGTCGATCGATTCACTAAGAGTGCGCATTTCATAGCAGCCAATGAGAAATGGTCTATGGAAAAGCTTGCGAATTCTTATGTGAAGGAAATTGTGAGACTTCACGGTGTTCCGCTAACAATTGTGTCGGATCGTGATAGTCGTTTCACCTCAAGATTTTGGAAAAGTCTACAAGAGGAATTGGGTACCAAGTTGTGTTTAAGTACAGCTTACCATCCGCAGACTGATGGTCAGAGCGAACGGACGATACAAACACTTGAAGATATGTTGAGAGCGTGTACCTTGGAATTCCTAGGTAATTGGGATGAACATTTACCTTTGGTAGAATTTTCCTATAATAATAGTTTTCACTCGAGCATAAAGATGGCACCTTATCAAGCTTTGTATGGACAGAAGTGTCGTACGCCGTCTTGTTGGCTTGAGGCTGGGGAAAAGCAGTTTATGGGGCCGAGATAGTCCATCAAACTGCTGAAAAGTTGAAAATAATTAGGAGAGAATGTTAGCAGCTCAGGATCGCAAAAGAGTTATGCTGACAAAAGCGAAGACCGATGACTTTTGAAGTTGGAGATTCGGTTTTGCTTAAAGTCTCGCCGTGGAAGGGACTTATAAGATTTGGAAAAAGGGGAAAGTTAAGTCCAAGGTTTATTGGACCGTTTAAAGTTCTTCAGAGGATTGGGAACCAAGCTTACAAGCTCGAACTACCAGAAGAACTGAATGGAATTCATAACACTTTCCATGTGTGTTATTTGAGGAAGTTCACGGAGAAGTTCCCGACATAATTCCACTTTCAGAGTTGAGGATCGATGAGAACAAAAGGTTGATTGAGGAACCGGAGGCAATTGTTGACCGAAAGACTAAGAAATTGCGACGTAAGATGGTGGAGTTAGTGCTTGTCCGATGGAAACACACGAATGGGCCAAATCTCACCTGGGAGACGGAGAGTGACATGATGAGTCGCTATCCGCATTTGTTTGCTGGTGTGTGATTCCGGGGACGGAATCATTCTAAGGTGGAGAGAATTGTAACGCCCGTGTTTCTAGGCTTGCCATTTTTAGCAATGTAATAGTCTAGGTTAACCTTGTAACTCAACTTGAAATAATAAAAATGTATTATTTGTGAATTATTGAATTATGTGATTTATGTGTGTATTTTCTTAATTTTTAATTTAATGAATTAAGAATAAAATAAGCGTCAAAATTTAAGTGTGAGATAAGCCCGACATCTTTGCATAAAGTTGTAGTGGTCGAAACAAGGATTCCGGAGATATAAGGAATGCCAAAATCCGAGTTATAACGAAGAAGTTATGACCTGTCGAAGTTTCGCGACAGAACCGAGACGATGAGTGACGTAAAATATGAATTTAAGATAGAGCGATATTTAGCCTTAGCGATCTAAACGAAAGTCGTAGATTTCGTTAAACCGAGAGCGTGCATAAAAGGAACGCCCAAATCTGACTTCGTATGAGGAAGTTATGATTTTCTAAGTTTCGACTTAGCAGTATGCAGCCCGAATACTCGATTTGAGATCGAGCGGTTTTTAGCCGAAACAATCTAAATGAGAATCGAAGATCTTGTTGTTAGTAGCGAAGAATGAAAAGTTAGGCGAGAACGGACGTCAGACGAAGAAGTTATGAATTTATAACGAAGTTTTTCTGTCCCGGCCTTCTAAAAATAAATAATAAAAATAAAAGTCAAAATTAGCCGACGGAGTCTAAATGAAAGTTGTAGAGTATGGTCTGACCTTCGCGTGGATATAAAGAACGTCGAAACGGAGCTCGTATGCGAAAGTTACGCAATTTAGAAGTTTGACAAGTCAATTACGCCCCGCGTACTCAGTCGGATGCAACTTGTCTGACCAATACTCGAGTGCCACCAGTCGACGCACGCAGTGACGTCAAAGTACGCCCCGCGTAATTTGAGTACGCCCCGCGTAATCCCAGACCCAGCAGCCTATAAATAGAACTCGAATTCAGCCATTTTGAAACGACCAAAAATACGACCCAAAAATTTTGTTTTTAATATAATCAAAACTATAATCAGAGTACCATATAAATAAACCATGCGTGATATGTCCCAAAATATAATAAAGTACTGTGCGGAAACTGTATCATACTACATCAAATCAACAACTAAATCAATCCCAGACTGAAGCTGAGGCGGTGGTGTGTGCGATGCCGTCACCCCGAGCTCTTCCCTTTGCTTGCGGAAGTACCTGAAACCAAAACTGAAACTGTAAGCACGAAGCTTAGTGAGCTCCCCCAAACTACCACATACCATACAATAACATATAAACACATATTGGGCCTTGCCCACTGCATCGGGCCGAAGCCCGGAAACTGCATCGGACCGAAGTCCGAAACTGATTGGGACCTTGTCCCCTGCATCGGACCGAAGTCCGGAACTAACTGCATCGGACCGAAGTCCGGAACTGACTGGGGATTTCTAATTTGAGAAATACAAACCAACAAAAACAAACTATCTCAAAATCCTTCACGATTCCTTTCATCAACCAAAAGTTAAAGGGCAACCTCAAAATCAATAAACAAAACTACTCTTTCATGATCAATGTTAAAAAAAAAATTGTAAACCCTTTTATTAAAACAATGTTCTTAAACCTTTAAAAATCAACCCAAACTTGATCTCACACCCTCATACGCCAAAAAACAAGCGGCATTAGCGGGTACACTTCTAGCCATCGCGGGTCCAAACCCTTTATACAAACCTCCAACTCCTTCCGCTTTCACAATCTTATTAAAAGCATCAATTGAACCCGAATATTTAGGGTTTCTATAATCATCAATTTGTATTGCACTCTTGATCACATCCGTAGGGTAAACCGAAACCCAAAATGCACCTCCGGCCAAACCTCCAGCGACTATCAGCGAACCACGATCAAGGCTGGAGGTGTCGATTCCTCCGGCGAAGTATTGTTTTAGGGCTTCGTAGACACCAAAACATGGCGGCATTTCCCGGGACTTCCCGCCCCATTGTCGGGATTAAACCTTTGAAAAGACCTTTTATGCCGCCTTCGGATCTTAAAACTTGCTTTGCTACATCCATTGGGCCGCTGTATTTTATGGCGGCAGTTACTGCCGCCCCTGGTCCGGTGACTGCTGCTCCTTGGGCCTGCAGTCTGTGAAAATAGATTCCTATTTTCAATTCTTTTTATAATAAGAAAATTAATAATCAATGTACATTGTTAGTTCTTGTAAAAAGGACTAACCTGCACTTGATTAGTTCAGTAGGGGTGGCTAGAACAGCGACTGCAACTCCAGCCCCGGCTCCAGCCACCACCTGCTGGTTCACGGTTAGGGGTGTCCCGGGTTCAGACCGCAAAAGGGCTTCCATTTGACCCCTAACCGTGAACAGAACTGCATTTAATGCAGCAACAGTAGCAAGAGGGGCGCCCATGCCTTTGTATAGGCCTCGTGGGCCTTCTGCTGCTACTGTTTGTTTAACAGCATCTATGGCGCCTGAATATTTAGGGCGTTGACCGGGTGGTGGGACCGGTTGACTTTGGAGTTTGACCTTGATGGTGTCAAATGGGTGTCCGACTATCAACTGTGATGCCCCTCCTATTGTTCCTGCTGTTAAATCCTTCGCTACGTCTGTCATCTGCAAGTTTATACAAGAACTATGATTTGATTTTGAATTTAGGAAAAGTAGTTGACTTTTCATGGTCAAAATTGAATTTTGCATCGAGATTAAGGATTGGATTTGGATCTGATACGTGAATTCAGCCATCGATTTAATTACAGGTCGTTGTCTATGAACATACAGATGATAAAGTAATTGAACGATTTAGTTAAAAGAATCAAAAGACTTGTGCTTAGGGATCGAAAGCGTACCTTTGAAGAATATTGGATGAACAGAAAGAGAAGGAGCCACTAATCGGTTATTCCAAACCTCAAAGAATCAGATCTGAAATAGCAATAAGAAGTCAACAAATGGATATTAAATCTTTGAAATTTGAAAGAGTTACCTAACCTTGGAGAAAAAACGGACATGACGATGGTCAAAACATGAGAGTATGGGCGTCCATTAAAGGAGTTTAAAAGCATATAAAAAGAAAAGGATAGAAAATTACCAAGTGGGTATAAGAGTAATCAACGGCTGAATATCAGCATTAACGTATCTTGAAATCAACGATTAAAGCTATGGAATAATCAAAAAGATTAGGGTTGGGAGTCAACTGAGGTTAAAAACTTTCGGAGGTTATGAAAAGATCGGAGAGAATCTTGCGAAATGAGGAAAATTAGGGCTGGGTTTGGCAATGGGATCTGAATCTAATCTCACACAGGCTTATAAACAGGATGAATCCGACAATGTGACCAATTCGAGATTCTCTACGATGAATCGCAATCGACCCAATAAGATTGGGGAAGATACTGCGATCTTGGTTGCTGCACTTAAAATTTTGGTGCGCCTATTATTAACATCACACGTTTCTCTCTTTGGTTTGTCAAAAGTATCAGGTTTAGTCCATGACATTTATATATTGCATATATGATCTCCATTTAAATTTTTTGTAACGGGTTTGATCCATTGTCTTAACCACACTTATGCCCCTTTGCGTGCCTTGCACATAAGAAGATTTTAGTATTTTAAACATGACAATGTTCTTGTGATCTCGTCTCCCTCAACACATGTCTCATGAAAAAACATTTGATCGTGATTGTTTTGACTAATAAGGAAACACTCTACTTGTATGTATCGAAACTAAACAACCTTAACGACTTGGTTTATGAACAATGTTCAAATGGATTTCTTCATGGCATCTAAAATTGTTGCATTGAAAGATTCTGAAATGGCATCACAACACCCATTATTTTCAAAATAAGCCCAACACCACCTTGTGCTGGTATGAAATTAGGGTTAGCCCTTTTTTATTTTCCATCTTCAAGTAGGAGGTCTAAAGACCACTTTCAATTTTACTTATTTTCAACTACTACTACATCCCAAATAAGAGGGTACATCTGGTTGTTAGTTGTTAGAGTCTTTTCCAACGACCAACAATACCTCCCCTCTGCAAACGCCTTTAAAAATAGACATTGATACCAATAACTCTTCTACATCCTTCAATCAATCATCATTTACACCCTCCCAACAAACATATATCTTTAAAAAATAACTAATCAAACACAATATCTACATTTATTGAAATCGTTAAACCTAGATTAGACCTTCAAATATCCTCACCATAACTTCTTAATTTTTCATAATGTGAATTCAATCTCATTTAATTCATATTTCTTTGCATTTCTACACTGCCTAACACTAAAATTGATGTTGAATTTGTTTACAACTTCAAATTTCATTTTTTGTAACTCATTTTGGGTTTTCAAAATGTAACGAATAATTGTTTGATTTCATATACATGAATATGCGAAAATTAACCTAAAACCGAAGGTCCTATTATAACCTAATTAATAATCTTGTTGAGTCAATTTTTTCATACCTAGGTTATATCCAACCGTATAATTGCTTAACAATAACTTATGTTCTTTTGGGTTACAAAATCTCATACCATTGATGGGTACTAAGGTATCATATTTATGATTTTGATCACAATATTGATAACTAGGGCTTTAGTGTTGTGATCATCTCCTTTATCATTATCATCGACTATATGTGGTATTGAAATAAAACCTATGTTACTAAAAAAAGGAAATAACACACTTCTTCAACTCAACAACCTCATCATCCTCGTCGTTATCAACTAATAAGTCATCAAACAAGAATAAGTCCATATCATCATCATTAAGTATTCACGTTTAGTACCTCCATCTTTTGCTTTGTCATCTTTAATCCGGTCTAAGTAGTGGTTCATTGAAGTGTCATTGTGTAACGCCCGTGTTTCTAGGCTTGCCATTTTTAGCAATGTAATAGTCTAGGTTAACCTTGTAACTCAACTTGAAATAATAAGAATGTATTATTTGTGAATTATTTGAATTATGTGATTTATGTGTGTATTTTCTTAATTTTTATAATTTAATGAATTAAGAATAAAATAAGCGTCAAAATTTAAGTGTGAGATAAGCCCGACATCTTTGCATAAAGTTGTAGTGGTCGAAACAAGGATTCCGGAGATATAAGGAATGCCAAAATCCGAGTTATAACGAAGAAGTTATGACCTGTCGAATTTCGAGACAGAACCGGTACGACGATGAGTGACGTAAAATATGAATTTAAGATAGAGCGATATTTAGCCTTAGCGATCTAAACGAAAGTCGTAGATTTCGTTAAACCGAGAGCGTGCATAAAAGGAACGCCCAAATCTGACTTCGTATGAGGAAGTTATGATTTTTCTAAGTTTCGACTTAGCAGTATGCAGCCCGAATACTCGATTTGAGATCGAGCGGTTTTTAGCCGAAACAATCTAAATGAGAATCGAAGATCTTGTTGTTAGTAGCGAAGCAATGAAAAGTTAGGCGAGAACGGACGTCAGACGAAGAAGTTATGAATTTATAACGAAGTTTTTCTGTCCCGGCCTTCTAAAAATAAATAATAAAAATAAAAGTCAAAATTAGCCGACGGAGTCTAAATGAAAGTTGTAGAGTATGGTCTGACCTTCGCGTGGATATAAAGAACGTCGAAAACGGAGCTCGTATGCGAAAGTTACGCAATTTAGAAGTTTGACAAGTCAATTACGCCCCGCGTAATTTGAGTACGCCCCGCGTACTCAGTCGGATGCAACTTGTCTGACCAATACTCGAGTGCCACCAGTCGACGCACGCAGTGACGTCAAAGTACGCCCCGCGTAATTTGAGTACGCCCCGCGTAATCCCAGACCCAGCAGCCTATAAATAGAACTCGAATTCAGCCATTTTCTCTTGTTCAAACTCTTCTTTCTCTCTAAGTTTTGCCTCGTTTTGCGTGCCGTTTATACCCCGAAGCCCCGGTAATATTCCCGAGCCCCGAAGTAAGATCCGAAGCCCCGAGGATCCCGAAGAGCGTTATTCCCGAGCCGAAACGCTGCCGCAGGAGCCCGGTTTTGTGAAGATCTTCCAGATCTACGGAGAAACACCTCTTCTGCAAGCCGTAGTGCTGCCCGATCATCTTTTGATCAAGTGAGTGTGTAGTTATTTTCATTCCAACGCAATATTATGAAGTATTTCCTATAAAATACGTGTTATGTGTATATATTTGGTTGTTATACGTGTGAGTGTATATTCACTCTCTTCTATCTTATAGATCTGATGTATTCTCTATGAAATACGTGTTATGTGTATATGCCTCATCTGTTATGTGGAATATGTATTGCTTAAAGCATGTTATACAGGTTTTTAAACTATGTATAAAAATGTATATTTTTATCTACTAATATGTTGGGTAGAACATGGGTAGATAATTGGTGTGTAATAAACAGATGAGAGGCCTCGGTGTTATTGGTGTTATTCTAGTCATTCAGCAGAGTATGGATGACGACCACGGACTATTCTAGACTGTCCTGTGGAACACTAGCAGGCTCATTACCTGTAGGTGTTGTGAACGACGTGTTCACCGGTGTACTCTATCCCCCACATGGTTGCCTTTAGGACACTTATTGTTGAGGAAGCCCCTCTGCAGTGATGTCCATCCCGATGAAAAATCCTGAAATAGGTTCCTTATAATAGACGTTATTTTTAGGAACGTAAGGTGAGGATAACGGGAATGGGTAATCGGGTTTATTGTTGATGGTTGAAATTAAATATAATTATTGTGGGTTGAAAACCCTATATGCTCACCAGGCTCCCAAGCTTGACCCACTCAGTTGATTTATTTTACAGGAAGTGGCGCAAGAGCTTAAGATGGGCGAACATCAAGTTGTTTTTGTTTACAAGTCTGTATATGTATATAATTGTTGAACGACTTGTAATGTTATCGTTTATGCTTTATGATCTGTATCGGAACATGACATCCCGACTTTTGATTATGAAATGAAATCATATTTCTTTATGAAATGTTTTGATAAATATCTATTTTATCATGTTTTGTTTTTTGGAACAAATTCCGCATCTCTTTTAAAATTAAAAGGATTTACTCTGAAAATTATTTTAAAAAGCATAAATGAAATCGGACTTTTCTGGCCGAGATTTTGGGGATGTCACACATTGTATGGCTAATCCTTCACTCTTTAACATAACTAATGTCAAGAAACCTAACATAATAATCATCATCTATCAATGCTCTCAACCCATCACTAAATAGCAAAAAATTATCATTTTTTATAAAATAATCAACACAAATCGCAAGTGATAAAGCTCACATGCGATTTCAACCTTCCCGGCTGCTATTTTGCTATATTGGGCTACAAAATCAGGCTCATTTTCTGTCCATTGGCCGACACCATATAAACCTCAAAATCTGAAATAACTTTTATTTTCACAATTTCAACTTCAAGAAATTCTCTCAACCATCTCAATGACTCAAAATCAATATTCATCCGAAGACTTTATAAGTACATCATAAAAAACAACAAAATGGATCATAGGAAATCGCAGGTGGCACTAACGCCTTGTTTATGATGTTTTTTTTTTTGGTAAATTCAATAAAAGAAAGGGAAGAAAAATACACAAGACAAAATCACATGTGGCATAACCACCTCCATTTCAATGGTTATTTTCTGAAAAAAATTCTAACTTTTTGGCTCTTTATTTTTATTTTTATTTTTTTAAAGCGTTTTGGGCTAAATTTGTAACTAAAAAAACTTGTAGCGGCTGAGTTGCATCGTATTCTTATTGCCGTTCTCGATTGTGGTGGTGGGCTGCCACCGTGGCACACCGACGGTCTAAACACGGTCACTGTGAAATCAAGAAGAAAATAATATATTCCGAGCTACATTGCCAGAATTACAGAAATAGAGTCGCTTCTTGTTCATTCTGAGCGTATGTGTATTAGGATTGAATCAAATTTACGAATGCCATTTAACTGAAAACGCTACATTTTTTTTGAGATTTGGAATCTGTCAAAAGAATTTGGAATTGAACTATAGCTTTAATTGTTACACCTCCACCCGTTTGTAGGGTTTCTTTCATTGAAGGGGACGAGAGCAATGACATGTCCAACCTTTTCGGGTGAGATACAATATCAATCGATCAATCAATCAATCAATCTTCACATTAAATTTCATTTGAAAGAAAGATTATGAGGATAAATGAAGTTATAATCTTCAAGCGACAAATCCATGTAAGTGATCAAGCATCGAATTTCCTCTTCAGTACGCTTCTTCCAAATTCTGCAAAAAATTAAACGCTACACCAACATTTTACCAAATATTTTTTTGTCAGTTTTGTTTTCCGAACCAAATACGCTCTCGCTGGAAAACTGCAAGTAAAATCTGTTCTTATCTTGGTTGAGCTGCAATTGCAATTGAGATACCCACAAATGTCAATGGAAGTCTCCATCTTTTTCATTCTCAAATTCACCATTTGATCATCCAGGTTAACGAAAGAGAAAATTATCCAATTTTAACTTTTTAATCCTTGATTCTGTTTGTATGCACTCCATCTATTTATGAGTAGTTTTTCCCACCTATATATGTCTTGTTGTTGTATCTCTGTCACGTACTACATGAAATCGACCTTTCATTCATTTAAATACGTAATTTTCACCTTTTTGTTTGAGTTTCTGTTAGTGAAGTTATAAATACGTACACATTTCAACATATGATTGATATCACCAAATTATTAGAGTCTTGATTTTGATTCTTAAAGCAATTTATTTGTGGAAGTATTCCATAATGGCCTTAATCACAAGCAATTCAAGTGGATTTGTTAAGAGTGTATGTGGTGAGGATTCATGGGTATCAGTTAAGATTAATGGAGCTTCTTCTTCTTCTTTCAAGAGGAAGAAAACCTTTGTAGCGTGTTATGATTATGGAGGAAAAAAGATTTCCCAAAATGCCCCTGAAAAGTTGCAACCTTTGTGGGATGATGGTTATGGTAGAAATAGAAAAACCATGGATTTGATTAAGAATGATGGAGGGCCACCTAGGTGGTTTTGTCCTGTTGCTTGTGGAATGCCTCTAAAAGATTCACCTGTTCTTTTGTATTTACCTGGTAATTTGTGTTTGGTTATAAAGTTAACACAAATTCAAGAATATGTACATGAATTATATATATATTCACTCTTTAGTGTTGTTAAAACTTAAAAGATTGTTTAATGTTTAATAATTGAATGTGATACTTTTTGTTAGGAATTGAAGGGACTGGAACTGGCCTTGTGTTACATGAGAAATCTCTTGGAAAGTAAGTTGCAATTGATCTACATCTACTTATTGAGTTTGTTTTATTACCAAATATGCCCCTTGTAAGAAGATCTAGTATCTTATTGATATGCAAAGATTTTAGAGTGATCTTTTTCCGAATTGAATCACAGGGTTTTTCATGTTCAATGCTTGCATATTCCTTTTCATGATCGAACGCCATTTGAAGGTTATCATCTTATCGTGTATTTATATTATGTAAAACTTCATGAAACCGGTGGAATGAGAGAGTGAATGACCATTTTACCCTTGTATTTGCATGAAGGTTTGATTAAAATTGTGGAAGAAAGTGTGAAGATTGAGCATAATTTGTCCCCAAATAAGCCGATTTATTTGCTTGGAGAATCTTTTGGAGGAACATTAGCACTTGGAGTTGCAGCTCGTAATCCTACAATTGACTTAATACTCATTCTAGCAAACCCAGGTTATTCTTTTTGTTTCTTTTCCTAATTTCTTCTACTTTTTTTTTTTTTTCAGTAATGTCAATTTCATATGTGTATTTTTTTTATCCAATTCAATTATCTTTACACTTGATCCTTTCTTCTAATTGAAACTAGGGAAGAAAAAATATTTGTTTATCTTGAGTTTACTTCATGTGAACAATTATACATACACATATGCATAGGAAACAATATAGGATCCAAGCACCTACGAATCTCTCTCTCTCTCTCTCTCTCTCTCTCTCATACATACACATACACATACACTACAAGGATCGAACCCTATGCAGACAACAATTATGGACATTGTACAGACGACATTTCGTCTATAAAAAGTCGTCGGCATAGCTCTATCGTTAAAAGTCGAAAATATCGTTGGGTCCTAAGCATTGATTTTCGAGGAAATAAAAAAAATTATTATTGAGACTCTATCCCGACGACTTGTCGTTGGGAAAAGTAGATGCCAACCAACTTCCGTTCTTAGTAATACCGACGACTTATCGTCGGGATTGGTAAATCTGTCTTTATAATTATAAAGCTATACCGACGACATGTCATCAGTATAACTTTTTTTGATATATTTTTACAGGTTTTGTTATATATACAAAATTTGTTTTAAAAAACAAATCAAAAAAGAATATTTGTAGAATAATATCAAACACTTAATAAAAATAATATATCATTTAAATTCAAATTCAAATTCAAATTCTACTACATAACAAAATAACACAAAATTTTATTTATTATTATTATTTTTTGACAAACCACCACCACCACCTTCTCCTCCTCCTCCTGTTGCATTATTTTCATTTGTTGGGTTAATACAACTATCTGAGGATTAGGATGTGGAAGCTTTGGAACGTTTGGTATGTTCATATGGAAATGAATTATTGTTGATGATTGGTTTCCTTCCAACTCTACGAATATGCTGCGTCTCTAACCGAGGCCACGAGCGAGACAATGTTCTTCATTTAACTTTTCGCTCTCCCCGAGCTCTGATTGCATCAACATCTTTTCTTGTTGAATGTTTCCTAAAAGTAGTTTTATATTATAAATTAGAATATAAGGTATTTACCTTTCTTTTGAACCATGGAGGAAATTCTGTTTTTAGATCACTTTCAGGCGATTCTGATTGGAATTCACTGGATGTGAGACAAAGTAATTAGAATAGTTTAAAGATATGATAACACTATCAAAAAAGTAGTTTATAAATCACAAAACTTATGATATATAGCTTTTCAGCTCATCCTCATCATAGTTGTTTGGTACTGTTAGGCGTGTCAAACCCAACAAATAAAGGGGTATGATATACTCCAAAATAATCCCACTATATTGCACTAAAAGGTAGTACAAGGCAAGCAGGGTCGATCCACAGAGACACAGGACAATTGGTCTATACCTATTTGCACAAGGTACTATGGTCACCAATAGTAAAGAGAGGGGGGTTTAGAATGTAATGATTAAACAAACAATTAAAAACATAAGCAATCAACTAAATGCGTGAATTAACTTCAGAATTTGTGAGGACTCCAACCCTATGTATGACAATTTAGCAATGTGACTCAAGGATGATACAATATTCGTTCAATTCTATCTAAGTTGGTACTTGAAAGTGCTAAAAAGCTCTAACACTTCCCATTCACCAAATTAATTAACCAAAACAAGCTCTTTGATTAACCCTAACCTTATTAACCTAATCTAAACAAGCTCTTAGAATTAGATTATAAGATTGCATGAAGCTTTATGTGAATGTTCCCAACAACACCCAATACTCCTCATAAGCTCGGGAGTGTAAAAGTGTATGAATAAGATTTACACTAAATTCATTCAATAGAGATCAATTTAATGCTTGTTACTTGTTCAATTTCACAAAACAATTACGGATTTTGTAAAAGAGATAACTTGAATGACCTAACCCTAATTCAAATGGCCAATAAGAATCATAATTAGAATCAAACATTCGATTGAAGCAAAATCAAATTCATTAGATAGAAATTAAGAACAAATATCATGTCATATGAATGAAGTCACTACCAAGAAGTCAAAACATGAAATTGGAGAAATTAGGGTTCTAGCCACACATGGCTAGAACAAGATCACAAGTCTAAAAGATGAAATTAAGTGTAATTACAACTTACAAAAACAAGAATTAATGTTTCCAAATGATTAACGGACAAACCCTTGCAAAAAGCTTCGAATTCCCTTCTCCAATGGTGCTCTGGTATGTTCTCTTATGTCCAAATGACCCTCAACCCGTAATATGAAAGATAGGAAAAACTGCCAAAAGTTGGTTTTTGGGTCGAACACGGCCCGTGTTAAAATAGGCTAAACTGACACGGGTCGTGTTCAGCAACACGCCCCGTGTTATTTGCACTAAACTGACACGGGTCGTGTTCAGCATGGTCAACAGCTCCCATTTTGGTCAAACACGCCCCGTGCCCACTTTTCAGTGTAAATTCAACACGCCCCGTGTACCTCTCTGACTCCAAATTCCAAACTTGATTTTTCCAACTTTTTCGTTCTTCGCCCGATCGTCCCGAAATCTCCACCAATGCTTCCCGACACTTCCCAAAGCGCGTTCCAACCTCCGGTTTACCTGAAAAAGATATAAAAGTGTGCAAATAAGGTTGTTCTAGAGACTAAAATGAATATGATAAAATGCAAGGAAAAGGAAGAACAATTGTGCTAAATATATGCATAAAATGGGACTAAAAGGTGTGCAAAAAGGTGCACAAATAGCACCTAACAAATCTCCCCAAGCTTAGACCTTTCTTGTCCTCAAGAAAGAACAAGAACGGACAACAGGACGATTTCTAGATGGCAAAAAGAAAAACTTAGAACGAAAAGGGGATGAAGGATCCTAAAGGTTAAGAATGAATGCATGCAATGTAATGCCATGAAAATTAAGGTATGTACAAAATGCACTGAGAAACAAAATGAAGCAAAAGAAAAGAAGATTAAGAACAAACACAAAATATGTACTTTTGTAACTAAATAAAGGTACGATCAGACTTTACATCAATAGGGCTTCGATCATTGATACCTTGGCAACCATCCTGTTTCCTTCCACATATCACAGACTCTCAATGTGAGGAAGACCCGAAACGGTGTAACCCAATAATCCAACCAAAGTTTTATTTAATCTTTATACCTTACTAAGCTTTATGGGCGAAAATAACATAGTCCGGATTTCATGTCCTTAAGACTAGATGGCCAAGAATCAGAATCGACGCCTCCTTAAGAACTCGTCACGGCGAATCAGCTTTCGCTGAAACAGTGAGCCCACCCGAAGGGGCTCAGCTCCTATGCTTTCACTTTTTCGAGAGCCACAAGTATCATATCACACAGTTCTTCATTCGCCATATTTGACTTGAGTTGGCTTTTGATTTGATTGAACTTTGATTTGTACTTCGTTTTGAATTTGGATTCTTCAATCTTCATCTTTGGAATTTCTTTAGATTTCTTCGTTTTGGCATTTGAAATTCTGATTAGGGTACTGGATATGACAGTTGTACCCTTCCTTCATTCTTGACTGTGTGGGTCTGATACATAAGCTCTCTGTTACCGCGGGGGTAACGCGTGTCAACAAATAGGTCGGGTTTAGAGTTGCTGATAAAGATTCTTTTTAAACATTCAAAAGCAAATCATCCTAAAGTTGTTATTACCGCCCAAAAAACGTTTCAATATAATTTTTTTTATTATCTAAGGCTAGGGTCTCGAATTACGGTGTTTGGGTCCCCTAGTTATGACAGCTGATTCTATGCTTCCGGTAACAATCCGGTTGCTTCGGTATTTTTCATTTCATGGAGCAATTGTATGTAACGAGTGTTATCATCTCGTACACTTTTTTTTTTGTCATAAAAGAAAATGCATGCATGGGAATGAGTGAACCTTTTTAAAGAAAAAAAAATTGAAAATAAGGAAAAAAAAAAAAAAGAAAAAAAAAGAGTTTTAAGGAAAAATTTGAAAATAAGAAAATGCATGCATGAGAATGAGTGAACCTAATATACAAGTCTACCCCTCCCCAAGCTTAAAGATAAGCATCGTCCCTGATGCTCGGAGAGGGTGGAACAACCTAAAACGGAGGTGGAGGAGGAGGATAGTAGCTGGGGTTTCGGGTCCAAGCCCAGAAGTCCTCCTCATGTTTGCGTTGACGCTCTTGATCCCGAGCGTACTGGGTGGTGAAGGTGGAAAAATTCTGGGTCAGGCTGGTAATATCCTGCTGATAGGTGTCGAGGCGGGTATGGATTGATTGGAATTCGTCCATATATTGTTGATGATAAGGCGGGGGTGCAGCAAAATGGGATGAGCTGCCACCACCGGTGGGAGAAGCATGGTGAGGCTCCTCCTCTTCTTCATCATCATCACCATCTTCCTCGTTTTCTCGCTTTGCTCATCGACCTCGGTGGAATAAGAGTGGGGGAAGATGTATGGAATGATTTGCCAATCAGTCATATGAATGGGATTTCGGAAATCAAGAATGCCTTTATTTTCTGGTGTGATGAGGAGCTTGGGATCATGATTTTGACCCACGGTCCAATGGTGTGTACCATCGCCTGCCGAGCGGAAGAGTCGCATGGACTCAAGGACAGTGGTGGTGAGATAAGGCTCACCCGGCAGTGGCTGGTGGGGACCGGGGTATGGGGCTCGGATGTGGGCGCTCTTGGCGAGCATGCTGACAATACCCCCGCAAACAATCTTTCCGATCGGGATGCGCTAAGGCGGATGAGCTTGTGGCACAGAAACCGACCATAATGAGGAATGAGGTTATTCTCGGGATGGGTCATTGCATAAAGGATTTTAAGTTCCAGCGCGCTAATGGTGCTTCGCTCCTCTCTAGGGGCGACGAGCGAAGCAATGATTCTGTGAGCTACCTTAATCACAGGATGGATAAGTGATGAGGCTTTAGCAGCGCTAGAGACATATGGATGTAATTGGGTGAGCTGGGTCCACCAAGTCATGTCATAGTATCCTTGGATTGGATCAGTGGGGCCAAATGTGTTTTCCGTTGGGGCCCCCACAATGGCATTGATTTGATCCAAGGAGATCTCATAGTCTTGATTCATTAGACGGAAGTAGAGGATCCCATGATCTAAATAAACTGAGGATAGAAACTCAGCTGTTGGGACTTTATAGCTCAATTCATGGACCCTCAACAAGCCGTGCCACCCTATGTTGCGAAACAGGGTTTTGACTTGATTGTAAACATGCAACTCTTTCAAGGTTGGAACATGCGCGAATTTTTGGATGGCATGACCTCTTTAAGGAATGACTCAAGTTTGCCTGTTGAACTGGGCCAAGACATACGACACCAAAATGAGACGGGTCGGCTGGGGGTGTTGGGGACCTAGATGGAGGTGAGGGAGATCTGGATGGAGGTGATGGAGATCTAGGCTTCCGACGACGGGCGGATGATTTGGTTTGTCTTGGTCTTTTGGAAGATGTAGCTTCCATAGTCAAGTTTGGGACAGATTAAAAGTCAACGGGTCAAAATGTCAAAAAGTCAACTGTTGACGGGTCCAGTCAACTTTGAACTTGGCCACCAAAATTTCGCGGGAAATTTGGTTTTCAAAGATTTCCAACTAAGAATCAAGTCCAAATAGACCACACTTTCAAGTATTTGACTCAAGAACACAAAATTCAAAGGTTAGGAGTTGGAAAGAATTTACCGAATCGTGTGTTGGATCGTGTTGTTCTTGATGGAAAAGATCTTCTTTAACCTCCCCAAGTTGCCCCTTTCAAGATTGAGACACTAAAACACCAAAATCAAGTGAGAATTTTCGGATCTAGGGTTTGTCAAAACCCCCAAATCCACCATTAAAATGCAAGAAAATGGTGTTTAAGATGGAGAAGATGAAGTGTAGATGATGAAAATCAAACCTTTTTGTAGATGAAAGTCAAAATCTTGAAGAAATTGAAAGGTATTTGATGAAAATCGGACCTAAGGTTTTTGTTGGGAGAGAGGGGTTGTTAGGAAGTGAAAGTGGGGATAAATGAGGTCAAATCCCGATTTTTTTCTTTAAAAGGAGGGGTAACTGCTGCGCGGACACGACCCGTGTCTCCCAGGCTTAATTGATACGCCCCGTGTTGGGGGTTTATGCTGAGATATAGTCGAACACGACCCGTGTTGGGTCAAGGCCAAAACCAACACGACCCGTGTTGCTCTCTGGAAGAATTTGGGACTTTTTTTCATTGACACGACCCGTGTTGGATCAAGGCTAAAATCACACGTCACGTGTTGCTCTCTGGAAGAATTTGGGAATTTTTTTCATTAACACGACCCGTGTTGGGTCAAGGCCAAAATCAACACGACCAGTGTTGCTCTCTGGAAGAATTTGGGACTTTTTTTCATTGAACACGACCCGTGTTCCATTAAGGCTAAAATGGGACACGACCCGTGTTGGTCCTGGATGCTAATCCCCACTTTTGAATTTGAAAATTTCCCTCTCTCGGAAATGAAGTACTTTTCCACCCCAAGGTACGTTCTTTTGGTTTGAAAACAATGACAAAACACATTTGGAACACTAAAAAAATAATAATGCAAAGAACGAAATGTTTTTGCGAAAAATGATGAAAATACCCCCGGGTTGCCTCCCGGTTAGCTGCCCTTGTTTTAGGTCGTTGGCTCGACTTTTTCCCCCAGGCGTGATTCATTCTTGGTATGTGGGGTTCTCTAACTCTTCTACCTCTTCATTCTTCACCTCAAATCCTTCATAAAACGGCTTTAACCTGTGACCATTAACTTTGAATGTTTTACCCGTTTGCTTGCTCGTGACTTCCACTGCACCATGGTCAAACACCCTTGTGACCACGAAAGGACCGACCCATCTTGATCTTAACTTTCCTGAAATTAGCTTGAATCTCGAGTGATAAAGCAACACCTTTTGTCCTTGTATAAAGGTCTTTGGGAGATTGCTCTGTCATGATATGCTTTTGTTTTCTCCTTATAGATCATGCTACTTTCGTATGCATCATTCCGAATCTCTTCTAGCTCTTGGATATCCAGTTTCCTTTTATTTCCCACCTCATCGTCAGTCAAGTTGAATTTCTTTACCGCCCAAAAAGCTTTATGCTCAAGCTCAACTGGGAGATGGCATGCTTTACCAAACACAAGCCGATATGGGGACATACCAATGGGAGTTTTAAAAGCAATACGGTATGCCCATAAGGCATCATATAGCCTCAAGCTCCAGTCTTTGCGGTTTGGGTTGACTGTTTTCTCCAAGATACTTTTGATTTGTCTGTTTGAGACTTCTGCTTGTCCATTGGTTTGGGGATGGTAAGCCGTTGAGACTTTGTGTGTCACTCCATATCTCTTCAAAACAGCTTCTAGCATCCGATTGCAAAAATGGGTCCCGCGGTCACTTATGAGCGCCTTTGGTGTGCCAAACCGTGAGAAAATCTGTACCTTAAGGAAATCAACCACAACTTTGGAATCATTAGTACGGGTGGCCTTAGCCTCCACCCATTTGGACACATAGTCCACTGCTAACAAAATATAAGAGCAACCAAAAGAGGGTGGAAATGGTCCCATAAAGTCAATGCCCCATACATCAAAAATTTCACATACTAGAATAGGGGTAAGGGGCATTTGATTTCTAGAGCTTAAGGACCCGGATTTTTGGCATTTTTCACAATGTGCACAAAGTACATAGGAATCATGGAAAATAGAAGGCCAAAAGAATCCGCTATCTAAAACTTTCCTAGCTGTCCTTTGGGGTCCAAAGTGACCACCACAAGCATAGGAATGGCAAAAATTAAGGATAGATTGTACCTCTTTTTGCTCAACACACCTGCGAATTACTTGGTCCGCACAGTACTTCCAAAGGTAAGGTTCATCCCATATGTATCGTTTGGCTTCTTTTTTGATTTTGTCTCTTTGCCAACGGGATGAATCTGGGGGAAATTGACTTGTGACCAAGTAGTTGACGATATCTGCATACCATGGTGCCTCTTTGGCTGCAAATAGATTCTCATCCGGAAATGTGTCACAGATGGGTATACCATCTTCGGGTGATACGATGCGACTTAGATGATCCGCAACCAGATTTTCCTTTCCACTCTTGTCTTTGATCTCAATATCGAACTCTTGCAAAAGCAGCATCCACCGTATTAACCTCGGCTTTGAGTCTTTCTTTGTAAGCAAGTGCTTTATGGCTGCATGGTCCGAATATATGATCACTTTAGTTCCAAGGAGGTATTGTCGAAACTTCTCCAAAGCAAAGACAATAGCAAGCAACTCTTTCTCTGTTGTGGTGTAGTTGCCTTGTGCCCTATCAAGGGTCTTTGATGCATAGTAGATGACATGATGTGCTCGGTCAACCTTTTGTCCCAAAACTGCCCCAACCGCGGTATTGCTAGCATCGCACATGATTTCGAATGGGAAGATCCCAATTTGGCGGTTGAATAATGGGGGCGGATGTCAACAAATCTTTCAAAAGGTCAAATGCCTTTTTGCATTCATCACCAAACTCAAAATCAGCCTCCTTTTGTAGAAGTTGACACATCGGTACCGTAATCTTGGAAAAATCCTTTATAAACCGCCGATAAAAACCTGCATGGCCAAGAAAAGAACGTACTTCCCGAACATTTGTCGGGTATGGTAAGCTCTTAATAATATCTGTTTTGGCCTTGTCAACTTCTAAACCTTTCTGGGACACCACATGTCCAAGTATCAAGCCCTTGTCGACCATAAAATGGCATTTTTCATAATTAAGGACTAAGTTCGTATCAATGCACCTTTGTAAGATTTTGGTGAGATTTTGCAAACATTCATTAAAAGAGTTTCCATAAACAGTAAAATCGTCCATGAAAACCTCTATGATATTTTCGACATATTCTGAAAATATGCTCACCATACATCTTTGGAAGGTTGCGGGTGCATTGCACAAACCAAAGGGCATGCGTCTATACGCAAAGGTGCCGAAGGGACATGTGAATGTGGTTTTCTCTTGGTCTTCCGGGGCAACCGGAATTTGATGAAAACCAGAGAAACCATCAAGGCAGCAGTAATGGGATTTCCCGGCCAATCGTTCTAACATCTGATCAATGAATGGCAAAGGGAAGTGGTCTTTGCGGGTGGAAGCATTCAGCTTCTATAATCGATACAAACTCTCCACCCGTTTTGCACACGGGTGGGTACCAATTCCCCTTCGGAGTTTTTGACAACGGTAACTCCAGCTTTTTTCGGGACTACTTGCACAGGACTCACCCACTTACTATCAGAAATAGGATAGATTACACCTGCATCCAAGAGCTTCATGATCTCCTTTTTGACCACCTCCATCATAGGTGGATTCAACCTCCTCTGTGCTTCACGGGTTGGCTTGAAGTCCTCTTCCATCAGTATTTTGTGCATGCATAATGATGGGCTCAACCCTTTTATATCCGCAATAGTCCAACCAATAGCCTCCTTGTATTTCTTCAAAATTCCAACTAACTCTTTTTCTTCTTCTCGTGCCAGCTTAGTCGAAATTATCACCGGTAGTGTCTCTTCCTCTCCAAGATAGGCATACTTGAGATGGTCGGGAAGAGCCTTCAACTCAAGAGTCGGCGATTGTACTATGGATGGGAGAAGTTTCGGATTAGAACTTTTTAGCTTCATGCGGGGTGGTTCAACTCTCATGGGTTGTGCTTTCTCCAAGGAATCAATTACTTCGATCAATTCGTCTTCCAATGTGTACTTGTCAGCCAACTCTTTAATCCCTGTCTCATCAAAGTGTTTGCTCAAGATGGTGGTTAGCACATCTTGGCTTGACATCTCAAAGCAATCATTAGTACATGAATCAATAACATCTATGAAGTTTAAAGAATGAATATCGCTAGGATAACGCATGGCTTCAAAGATATTAAAGTTAATTACCTCACCATCGAACTCCATTGACAAAGTACCATTGGCTACATCTATTTTTGTTTTTGCGGTACTCATAAAGGGTCTCCCCAAAAGGATGGAGCTCGATTGTGGGGTGTTTTCATCACCCATGTCTAAAACATAAAAATCAGCGGGAAAAACGAGCTCATTAACTTGCACTAACACGTCCTCCAATACACCTTTCGGATGTACCAA